GTGGTAGGATCTGTTAGATCAGTATTGTCTGTAGACTGTTATGTGATTATCTATTATATGTGCACATGTCTATTTGGTAGTTGAGGTTGATCTGCTTCGTGCGGAGGCCAATAGACCAGGGCATTCCAACCTATTGGTTGAGGGCCTGGGTATTCCATCCCGAGGATGATTGGACCCATAACGTGTTGGCATTCCAACATGTTGGTTGAGGGCCTGGGGTATTCCAACCTGGTGGTTGATTGGACCTATTGTATACTGTGTTTATGATAATATGTATATTTGTGAGTATGGGTATTTTGGGGGAACTCACTAAGCTTTCGGGCTTACAGTTTCAGTTTATTGTTTCACGTATATCACGGGATTGAGGCAAGGCAAAGGCGTGATCATACCGCTCCTCACATTTTGTTATGTATTCTGGGAAAAACTATGATAAAGACTATTTTGGAAACAAATATTTAGTAACTATTGGTTTTTAAAACGTTTGGAAAGTTTAAATTTGCCTTAAATTTTATGGGTGTTACAATTTTGCACACCTAAATTATTTTTTTTTGGATGTTTCGTTTGATTTTTCTTTGCTATTACCATGTATAACATTGTAATTTCATTTAAAAATGATCAACATTGTACATTAGGTTGTTACTTTAGTGTTTGTCATGTTTACGATTGACGATCCTTGACCAATTTTTATGGTTATCACAACTTCCATGTTTACAATAAATGATGGTGTTGGTTATAAGGTTAAAGATGAACGACGAATGTGGCTTATAGGTGTTGTAATGTTAACATACGAGATATGAGAGAAATTGGAGGTGCTAAATGTATCTCGGACGGATTGAAGGTGACGAAGAAGGAAGCTTGCAAAGAATAATGAGATGGGTGAGAGATGGATAGTGGTAGGTGTGGCATGAATATGTGTATCTCCGATCAGATTTTAACTGAAGGGGAGGGTAGGAAGGAAAATGGGTGGGTTACGGTATCTCAAATGGTCTGCTGGTACTCTAGGTAAATGGAATGTGAGTTTTTTCCCCGATTATTGTGTTTTCATACTCTATTGACCAAGTAGAATTTGTAAAGGGAAGGAATTGACGACCTCTATAGTGAACAACAATCACCACATTCTTTATCTTGCTCCAGTCCAGTGTCCTCTCTTGAAGTTCATTGTCGATTAGATCGTCCATCTTCTTAGAATTTAAATAAAACACATCCCCACTTTAGTAATCTATCATGCATAAATCGTGAGATGTGTAAGTTTGCTAAACTCAAGTGTGTTTATTTGAGCCCGAGAGTTAACAAACGAGTTGCATACAATTTAAAATGAAAAATTTTCGTTTTCTAAAATTATAAAAAACTTGAACAACTGCTAATTATTGTTTTTCACGCTTTTCCATTTTCAAAAGTTTTTTAAAATATATAAACACACACACACACACATCCAACCCCACTCATCCGCTCCCTCCGCTCCTATACCCACATATACCCAACCCACCACCACTCCAACCCATCCCAACCTTCCCATCAACCACTACATGTCCTACACCCACGCACACTTTATCCTTATCTATATAATATTTTAAACAGTAAATCTAACATACTTCTAAATTACTTCTTTAATACACATATGTTTACGATGGAATTTGAATCCTCGACTTCAAGGAGGGAAGACAACACTGGATATCGCTGGGCTAGAAACCATTTGGTGACCATAAAAGTATTATGTGACAAAACTAGTTGTTATATATTAAATATGACATTAACAATTATACATGATATAAGGAAATAATTGCTAAAAAACATCTAAACAAATAAAGATGTTGCTTAATATTAGAGGATTTAAAGTTAAAAAAAAAATTAATAATTGATATTGTTGTCAAATATAATAGAAAAAAATTAATTTTTATCTTTTATTATCTTTTCTTATATACAGGAAAATTTTAAATGAAGATACATAAAAATAGAGATGGAAAAAGATGTCATTGTACAATAGCTCGTTTAATAAAAGGACAAATAACAATTTTAAATTTTATTTATTAGAAGAATTAGATGTTAACCAAATGAAATTAATAAGTAAAATGTTTTTAACTAAATAAAGTGAAGCTATTAGTAACCATAAACATAAATAAAAATATATACTATTGTGTTGTATATTTATCATGTATAATTGTTTTGTCGAAATCGATACTATTTTGAGATCATCTTTTGCTTTGTTAAATCCAGCTTTCTGATGCCGTGTGCTTTTTAAACTATTAAGGACCATTCTTTTTCTAGAACATGTGAAAACAAGAAAACAAATAAAGGTTTTCATTTGAATAATTATTATATAAAATAAAGATATCTTTAATTAGTTTTATGTCAAAATAAAATAAAATTGAGAATGAGATCGAAATCAGATAGCATTAGGGGTGAGCGCGGTGCAGTTCGGTGCGGTTATTAGCTAAAACCTCACTACTAACCGCAAATGCGGTTAATCCATTTTGAAAACCGCATAGTGCGGTTATTTTTGCGGTGCGGTTAGGCGGTTATTTTTGCGGTGCGGTTTTGTTTTTTCTGTGTTGCGGTTATTAACCGCATGGATTTGGTGCGGTTATTTTGTGTGGTTTTTAACCACAATTTAGAGCTCAAACGGTTTTAAAAGTTCAAACATATTACTTGTAATAATAAAAAAACCATAAAGTATAAGACAATTAACTTAAATTACAAACAACTAATATCTTAAAAACGTCAAATCAATAGTAATTTACAAAAAATATCTTAAAATTGTCGAATTTCACAATTTTTCAAAGTTAAACATAACAAAACACCAATATTTTGGTCTTCTAGTATTTTATCCATCTTTCATCCATGAAACTTATGTTATTTTTAGTATTTAATATATTAATAAATAATTAAAAAAATTGTATATAACATATGCGGTGCGGTGCGGTTTTTTTGCGGTTTTTGAAAACTAATAACCGCACCGCACCGCAAATTTGCGGTTTTTGAAAAACAGAAAACCTCATCATCGGTTTTAATTGCGGTTGCGGTTTATCGGTTGCGGTTTTTGCGGTTAAATTTAATTGCGGTGCGGTTTTTACTCACCCCTAGATAGCATGGTTCTCGGCAATGTAGGGAGCAAAGAAGGGAAATGCTTCAAAAAAATAAAAAATAAATAAACATATTGAGATTGAGACGATAGAGATTAAAGATTCCGTTCAAAAATCTAAAATAAAATAGGGAATTGAGTCATTGAGACGGATGAAAATACAAGTTTTTATTCATGAGATTTTTAACGAAAAAGGAATGCAATTGGCTATTGGCGGAATTAAAGATAATGGTGTTTGGATTACTCCGGATTCCGTTAAAAATATATATATATTTTTTGTAATTTTTTAAAGAAAATTTAAAGATATTGACTGTCTTCCACAAGAAGTGATAATTTTAAACGTTTATGTGACAATCATGTTTCTTTTTTGGAAGCTACGTTTTTGGAAGAAGTCTGGCCATCCCCAATGGGTTTCATTGGGTTTTATGGAAGGTTTAATGGATAAAAAATAATAAGGTGACATTGAATATATAGAATATATAGTATTTAGTATTGTGGTGGAGTTGAATGAATGAGATGTTTAATCTCATTCAACTGTGGTATGAAATTACTTTTTTTTTTTTTTATTTTTTTTTTTTCATTCTCAATTTAGTACAAATTATATATATATATATATTGAAAGTTAATTTATTATTATTTTTTTGTAAAAAACAAATTATATATTATTATTTTTTGTTTTATTCTTCATTTTATTTATATTCAATAATTTAATGGGCTAATTACCAATCTAACCATTTTTCTTAATCACTTATCAATAAATAACCAAAATATACCAATTAGCCAGAAATAACCCTCAAAACCGTAGTCAACTTAGGGTTGACTACGGTCAACACTATTGACTGATGTTTTATGGACAAAACTACTGTCTTGTGCTAATGGGCTACTGTTTCATTGGTCCGTTTACTTTTTCGTGGCCCATTAGCTCAAAATATATAATTTTTTTTTTATAGATTAGGTCATTTTATCTATTGTTTTCTTTGTTTTGCATACCTTTTTCTCTCAATGGAGCACCCGAAGAACAACCAGGTTTGTCTACTTTTCATCAAAATTTTATCGTATTTTTTATTAGGAGTAGCTTTTATATATGTTAATTTTTTTTTTAAAAAAAACGAATATATATATATATATATATATATATATATATATATATATATATATATATATATATATATATATATATATATATATAACTGTAGGTTTCATACGAAACCTACGGTGTACAAGTTCTCAATGCACAGATTGTGCATTACAGATTGTGCATTGTCGACTTGTACACCTACGGTTCCGTATGAACCGTACGGAAATTAAATTTTTGTTTCGTTTTTTTTTTTTTAAAATCGATTCAATGGGATCGGAATTATGTTAATTTTGTAATCATGTATTTAAAAAAAAACCGTAGGTATTATGGAAACCTACGGTGTACAAGTGTTTACTGCACAAAATGTGCAGTAAACACTTGTACACCGTAGGTTTCCATAATACCTACGGTTTTGTAATTTTTTTTTAAAATAACTAATAATTTTTTTTTTTAAAATAACTAATAAACATTTTTTAAAAAAAATAACTAATAAACATTTTAAAAAAAAAATAACTAATACACGTTTTTTTAAATAACTAATAAACATTTTTTTTAAATAACTATTTTTTTTTAAAATAACTAATGTCACACCATTTTTTTTAAATAACTAATAAACATTTTTTTTAAAATAACTAACAAACATTTTTTTTAAATAACTATATTTTTTTAAATAACTAATGTCACACCATTTTGAAAGTACAATGCTAAATTTGGCGTACTAATAGTATAGAAAATATAAAAAAAATGTAGTCAATTAATTTCCTTTGGTATTTCATACAAAGTAAATAGAATATATGAAATGATTAATTCTTATATTGTGTGTTTTTTCTAATTGTTTATCAGTTTTTTTAGTTTTATAAAACTTTATTTAACCTTAATGTTTATTTCATTTTGTAGCTTCCAAACAAATCGATGATGGGTCACTTATCTGTCAAAGCTTCATGCCATAAATTGCATGAAGTTTTGAGTCGCTTGCACAGACCCGTGCGCGATCTGTTTTCAACAACTAGCTTTGGTTACTAGTTGGACTTACCAGCTCAGTCCGGAGATGGACTTCTTATTCATGGGCTATTACTGCATATGTTGCGTCCTACTGCTGAAACGGACGCAGCTGAACGCTTATATTTTAGGTTTCTAGACGTACGCTATCATTTGGGCTGGAGGAGTTTTGTCTGGTGACCAGACTTTACATGGGTCGGTGTCCTAACTCAAGGATCGAATTTTCAACCATGTATAAACACGGTTATGGTGATAATACATTTCAGTCCAGAGTCTTCCCATATCGCACAGACACTTCTTTAGTTGTAGAAGATTTAGAGCTCCTTATCTTGAATCAACGGTTCAATGACATATCGGCTCAAGACGATGTTCGTGTCATTTTGCTGTATATCCTTAATCAAGGTTTTTTTTGGGAAAGGAGCTTAATGAAAAAGTCACTAAGGAATATTTGTGGGTGGTGGAGAACCTGGATCAATGGAACAGGTATTTGTCAATTTAACATTTATAATAAAATACTATTTTTATATGTTTAAATAATACTTATTTCTTATAATATAGGTTCTCGTGGGGGGTTACCTATGGAGTAAAACATACCCTAAATTGTCGGGTATATTTAAGAAATTTGAGGATTATATGTCCAACCATCCAACAAAAGTGATTGTGTACACACTATCGGGTTTTGTTATTCCGTTGAAGGTATATTTTACTAATTAAAAAATATATTTAATAATTTATCAGTTTTTATTTTATTTTTAAAATTTTAGTTATTGCTAACTCTTATAAATTAACTTATATTTATTACAAGATATGGATATGGGAGATGTTTCCATCAATCCGGGGAAATGGTGCGATACGACAAAATTATTTATATCCGTGTATATTGCGCTGGTTTCATATTAAGAGGTTAACTTGGGAAAAAGTCTGCGATCTTTTCGATGTTGATCAGGACGAAGCACATCAATCGAAAAGAAAGATGATTGCCTCAGATGTCGAGGCCTCTACTCCACATTATCTGTCATATATTTCTAGTCTAAATTGTGAATTGTCTGAAGCCCCATCTTCTCTACGCTACAACTTTAGAAATGATGTAAGTAACTTTGTAAAATAATAATTTAGTATAATAAAATTTTTCAAGTGTTATTGATATATGAAAAAATTTATGTAGGGGGCATCTTCGTCAAAAACAAGCTGGGGAAACAGCCAATCTTCCAAATCTACCGAGCGAACTCATACGGTGAAAATTACCAAAAAGACCGCGCGAGAAATAATGGCAAGACTTGAATCTTTGGAGGAAGAAATCCGAGGAATGAAAAATAAAGGTGGTACTCGAGACGGTGATGATTTGGAACAGTTTTTTAATGACGCTTTTGATGTATTAATATTAATTAATAATATATATATGATGTATTATTTAAATTTTTAACGAAGCTTTTAATTAAGTATTTTTTTTCTGTAAATGTAGGGGAATGAGGATGTGGTATATAGTCCACAAAAATCAAATCCAGTTAACGAAGATGATCAAGTTGGTAATTCACTAGGGGATGATTCTAGAAAACAAATCGTGGAGGTGATTATTTTTTTTCTTTTGTTTTGTATATTAAACTTTTTATTTTTTCAAAGTATATTAAAAAATGAATATGTTTTTTGTAGAAGAAGAAAAAAAGGAGGTTGTTGCTAGGGACATTGTGGATGCGGAAAATCATATACCCATACCTATTGTTAAAGAAGGTCGTCCGGTTAGGCAATTGAAACCTTCTCAATATTTTAGTTGTCCTTACGTTTCGGTAAGTATGGTAAAAATCATATTTACTGCAATTTTATTACTATATGGATAGTTATTGACTACGTATATAATGTAGGTTCAAAATGTCCCCCGATATCGAACAGGTGGGGTAATACACAACGCACAACCGCCCCCCGTATTTGTCAGCGATCCCTCGACACTTTTATTGGACCCGTATGTGAATCCGGGTTGTAATGCTCCCTGCTCTATACATGGAAAACAAACTGACTGTTTTTTTTTTTTTTTTTTGAAACATCGGTTATACAATGAAAAAATGGAAGCAAGGTTTTGGGATCGGCTTTTTTATGCAACTGAAATGAGATTTTTAGAAGAAGCGGTATGAAGACATTCCTTTATATTTATAATATAAAACGTTTACATGAAACTTATGTTTCAATTAAATTTAAATGCAGCATGTTGACCTATGGGGAGGGCTTTTGAATGACCGGAGACCGAACGATGCTCGATGGACAATCATGTCATCGTCATTTTTTGGTGGGTTTGAGATGTTCCGGTGGGCTGGAAGTGCAACGAGAAATCCGTTTGATCCATTGGATGGATGTAAATCTTGGCTGGAAGTTGACCGTGTAAGTAAATAAATAATATATCAGTGAATTTAATTGTAATTAATTGCAACGGTTGTGTGTTAAAACAGGTTTACGTCCAGTGTTTCTTGGCCTACCCGGCTAATGTCTCTCCATTATGGGTGGCTTCACGATCATCACATCATCGGGTATCTCCCACTCAGATGAACTTGGTAAGTGGTTCACAGAATCCTCGTAAGTTTTCTTAAGCGTCTCTGTAAAGTAAGCTTTTAAAGCAAATTCCGAACAATCTTCGTAACGGTTCATTGTGAGCACTTTTATGACATGGCCACAAGGTAAGCCATCTATTTACCACCGCCTACATGTACAGGTTCTTTGTTGGAAATCAACAATGACACTTTTGTGAGTAGAGCTTTTCACTTCAAATCTACTATTTGAGATAGGGTACACGATCCAATTATTACAAGCATCCTTATTTGTTTGTATAATCGTTTCAGCCCATGGGGTGAGTGTCGTTTTTACTTCAGCTAAAAAAATAGACATATGTTAATAATATCATATGAGTAGTAAAATAACATTTCAAGTAGTATTAGATATAAAACATAAGTACCTGCTACACCATGTTTATGAAAAATCCATTGTTGCATTGTTACACGAAAATACTCAATCAACATCAATATTGGCATCTTTCTTGCAAATCTTGACATTGCATTTATCGAATCCGCGCTATTTGATGTCATAAGAAAATACCGATTCCCAGGAAAATGTGCACTGACCCATCTTTCTGGATTGATGTTTTGTAGGTATTCCCATACATGAACATTTACCTTTTTAATTTGTTTGATCCCATTATCAAATTTTTTAATAGTATACGCTTTGCATGTATCCCAAAATAATGCATGTATTGTATTCCTGCTTCCAAATTTTGCTGAAATGTTGAAATACAAATGGATACCACATATTCCATGATGGGCGTGAGGAAATATATTTGCAATTGGCGTCGCTATGGATGGAGCCCTATCAGATATGAATGTAAGGTCTTCCACGTTCCCTATACATTCACGTAGTTTTTGAAGAAACCAGGACCATGTCTCCGTACATTCACTTTTGCATATGGCGTAAGCAACAGACAAAATCTAATTTTGACCGTCCATTGTCACTGCGAGCAACATCTTACCCTTGAATTCACCCTTTAGGTGACCACCATCAATTATTAGCGTCGGCCTACAATATTTGATGAACGCTTGTACGTACAATTATTTTTTATTTGATTAACAAATACAAATTGAGAATCTTATGTTATATTTGTTATAAAAATTTATCACTGTTTACCGAGCAACTCAGTGCGATATACACAAACTCAAATTGATCTTCAACGTTTGTTCTTATCTAAGTAACAGTTCTTGGATTATGCTTGCCCAAGTTGTGCAGATACGCTGATAGTTTGGTGAATGATTCCTCTTTGGTACCTCTTAACGTCAACAACGCAGATTGTTTTGCCCGCCATGCCTGTTGGTATGAGATATTGATTGGAAATTTCGAATTGATGTCCCTTACAATTTCATTACCCCGATTAACTCTATTATAATCTCCGGCCAAAACTTCAGCGATAAAGTGGCCGAGTACCTTTTTCTTTGATTGTCGATGATTAGACTCCAAGTTTGTTGCACAACATGTGTGTTGGTCACCAACTTTTGTGACTTGGAAAGCAGTAGTAGATTTGATTCCCCTTGCCCTAACCATCCAAGAACAATTTTCTACCAAACAAACCACCTCGAACCTTTCTTTGCTCGATCTGGTAGTCTTATACTGCTTACCTTGTTCCATGCATTGTGTTCCAATTGCAAGCTTGAGAAACTCTTTGTCATCAAAAATTTCTAGAACCTTAATCTTTTCATTTATATCCAACCTCTGACATGGAATGTTCACATTATCATTTACAGGACATGAAGGCAATGGGGGAATACCATGAAACATGGTATATGAATAAATAAGTTTAGGTTCATCATCTAATTCTTCTCCGTTGGAATCACTCTCTAGGCCGGCTATATCCAACATGTCACAATCCGCAAACTCATCATAGCCTTTTAGTTCACCATCATGCAAAAATGGAACTTCTTCTTTTCCAAATTCATTACCAACCTTATCCACCACGTCTAGTGATTTTTTTTTTGTCAAAGTTATGATTTACACCAACATCATTAACATATGTACCAACATCATTATCACCTATATACTTATAATTCTCCGCTGTAACATACATAATCGGTTCTGGCAATACATTTTCATTTTCAGCAGCACTGTGATATTGACTTTTACTTGGACTTTTAAAGTTACCTATTGGGGTGTTTCTCCCTTTTCCACTTGATAAATTAGCTGCATATGCCTTTCCTCTATCATCCACTTCGTTACGCGATACGCCTTCTTCAACCACCACATAGACATACACAGATTTATCGCCAACGGTATTTATTACCTTGATCAGCTTTCTAATATCATGATCATCAACAATACCACAATCATAGAGTTGTTCTGGATGTTGATAAGCCAGACTGACTTTTGATTCTTCGGGAAGATCCATCTTGCACTTCACCAAATGAACAAATTTGGTGTATGTGGTGGTTTCATAAAATTCAACACCGAAATAAAACATTTTCGGATTGTATCCCGGTGGCCAAACATACGATAATTGGGAATTAACAAACTCCCATCTTCCATCCGTAATGAGCAACACAAAATATTCTTTGCAACTCATTGTCTTAATTTTGAGAATAAAAAAGCTAGAGTGAAAAAACTTTAAAAAACATGAAATATTTCAAAAAATATTAAATACTTAATATATATAGTAGGTTGAAAACACTAGTCAACTCTGACGAAATAGTAGTCAACTCTGACGAAAATGTAGTCAACTCTGACGAAAAAGTAGTCAAATTTAACAAAACAATAGTCAAATTAAAAAAAAAAAAAAGTAGTCAAACTAATAACAAAGTAATCAAGTTTACCGAAAAAAGTAGTCAAATTCAAACCAAATAATTGTTAAAATGTAAACAAAATAGTTGTTAAAATTATTATATAAACACTCTTTTTTATTCTCTGTATTTAATTAAAATAAAATAAAATAAAATTTTTTTAAAAAAAATAACCAAAACATAGTTTTTTTGGAAATAATAGTAGATAAAATCCCCAAAATAGTAGATAAAAAACATTACTTTTTTGGACAAAATAATAGATAAACCCCCAAAATAATAGATAAAAAAATAGTTTTATTCGCCAAAATTGTAGCCTACGGTTTGGGAAACCGTAGGTATTAGAGAGAAAACCGTAGGTTATATATTACATACGGTTTTGTATGTGAAAATGAATTTTTTTTATACAAAACGTGAAACAATAGGTGAAATGGCGAAACAGTAGGCGAATCTCGAAACCTACGGTTTCGTGGGCTATTTTTGGCTATCTACTAGTTTTTGGCTAAAAATTGCTAATTACCCCCTTAATTTGGCTAGATTAGTAATTACCCCTAATTTAATTTATTAAGTTAATTTATCTTTTTTTTTATTCTAAACAATAAAAAATTTATAAATTCTAAAAATATTTTAAAAAGATAATATCTTATTTGTAACTTTTAATTTCTAAATTGTAATCTTTAATTAATATTTAGTAATTGTAACTTTAAATTTATAATTAATTTAATATTCTAGTTTTATTTATTAATACTATTTAAATAAAAAAATTAAAATGGTGATGTGGCAATCTATTGAACTCTTAAGAGTTTAATGGAGTGTAGAGTTTAATAGGTTAAATGATATAGTTAGTGGAATGTTGATGTAACAATCCATTGAACTCTTAAGAGTTCAATGCACTGGAGATGACCTCAAGCAAGCGATTTGGGCTTATGGACCCGACTAGTCTCCGAGTCCCGATGGTATTTCGTTCACTTTTTACAATAAATATTGGGAGCGATTAAAGTAGATGCAACTCCTCATTTATTATGTTGATTCCTAAAGTTAATAGTCTTGTGGTTGTTTCTAATTCCAAACTTATAAGCCTTATAGGTGCCCAATTAACTTATAAGCCTTATAGGTGCCCAAGATTATTGCTAAAATTTTAGCTTCTTGCATGGCGAAAGTTATTTCGTAAGTTGTTAGTGGGATATTCTGCTTTCGTATATCGTCAGATTCTTGATGACCCGTAGATGGTAAACGAAATAGTTGATTGTTGCAAGAAGAAAAAAATTGATGATTTTCAAAATAGATTTTGAAAAAGCACAACACTCGGTTATTTGAACTTTTTTAGAAAAAATGATGGTGATTCTCGGTTTTGGTCCTAAATAGGTGTCTTGGATTCGTGGTGCTTGATTTCGTCTAAACCTTCTATTAATGGTAGCCTAACTGTGGAGTTTCAAGTGATTCTCGATTTTTGTCATAAATAGGTGATTCTTGGTTTTGGTCCTAAATAGGGTTCTCGATTTTGGTCCTAAATAGGTGTCTTCCTTTTTTTTTTTTTTTTTTTTTTTTTTTTATTTGAGTAAATTACATGAATGATCCTTATGGTTTGGGGCAATTTGCATGTTTGGTCAATTACTTATTATTATTATTTTTTAACTTGGACTATCTCTGTTGTTTGGTTTTGTTGCTCGCTTGACCCCTATCATACCTAAAAAGACTATGTTGCCCTTCTTTATTTTATTTTTTATTTTTTTATTTATTTAATAAAAAAATATTTAATAAATAAGTAGGACCCCTTTCCATGTTCTCTTTCATAGTAGACGAACGGGAGGACATCGATTTGATGTTGAGAAAACACAATCGGTGATTCTTTCCTTCTTCGTTCCAAAAATGCCACACGGTACTCCGGCCTCCATCGCTTTTCTTGTTGACCACTACTTACTAGAAAATTTGTTGAGTCTCTCACACATTACTCCTATGACACCATCTAGGCTTTCAAAAAACATTGTTTTCAATCTCCATGTAATCGTCGTCGGCCGCCTATGAAACCACCACTACCGTTGCCCCCAAAGCAACCATCACTACCCTTATACAACATCGACCCCTTATATTCTATCCATCAATTTCTTCCCCCTTTTCTTATCTCGCCATGATAAAAAAAGCATAGAAAGATTTAGGTGACAAAAACACAAAATAGTAATGGGAGGAGGAATGAAAACAATGGTTCAGATCTCCATGATGGGAGGAAAATGAAGGAGAAAGCCACCGGAGAAAATGAAAAATTATCGCCATGGTCGGAACCT